TGTTATTAACCAATGCTATCCCAATAAATTTGATTAAAAAATAAGTAAATAAATAGAAAGGGTGGGACTAAGAAGTGTCTGTATGGGGAAGAAGACAAGGAGCTGGGTGTGAGGTGAGAAAAAAATAAAATAATGTTAACAGCTGCCGTTTTGACCCTGTGCCAGACGGAGTGTACCAGGGTTATAAGCAGAAGCTCAGTGAAGCCTCCCAACCGCCCTGTAGGGTGTTTTCAATTTTACAGAGGAGAATCTGAGGCTCACATTGGTTAAGTAACTTAGCGAAAGAGCTCACGAGAGGGAGGAGGGCTTTCGGCAGCTAGATCGTGTTCTGTTGTTTGCAAAGCCTGTTTAGCCCTTGACTCCCTTCCACGCTTATTAGAGAATCTGATGGATCCTGAGGCTTGAAAGACCAGAAGTAGCTGATGATGGGGTAGAGATGGGGAGCCAGGAGGGCCTGGACTGCCAGGGACCTGAAAACAGGCCTTGGAGACAGACTAAAGGAATGGAGATACCCTTCCTCCTCAGCCATACTGAAGCCCACCTGTTGGGCTGACTCCCCTGCTCAGAGTCATGGGTGGTAGGATTTCTGCTGCTCAGGAAACAAGGACTATCTACTAGCTCCTCCTGGGCCCCAGGAATCCCTATTAAACCTCCTCAGGAGCTGCCTCCAAGCCTTCTGAAAGGAGGTGGTGGTGTCCCCTGCAGGTCCCCCAAAGCTAGAGGGCAGGCTATAGATTCAGCACCACCCACCATGACGCAGACCCAGCCTTCCCACAGTGAAGAGAGTGGCTTTCCTAGTGCCAGGCCCAGTCATGTTGCGCGGGGGTCACCGGCCAGCAGTGACCACGGAACACTGTGGATGGCTCGACAATAAACACGCGAGAAATAACAACATGCACAGAGACAAACTAGTTTCTGTGGGGAAGTAGGGACAGAATGGCCACCCCCCCTAGTGGGGAGCGCGCTGATTTACCGTCCATACCTGCTTTTATTAGGCTCATTTTGCATAATAATTCAGGCAAAGTACAGTACTCATTAGGGGAAGTAACAAAGAACTCTGCCGGTCTATTGAGTTGGGGGTCAAAGAGCTGTAAGGCTGAGGAACAAACTAGCTTCCTCCTAAGACCCTTCTCATTCAACTGAGAGCGTTCTTAAACAAAGAAGGTTTCACAGTAATTTACATGTTCTTTCTTAGGCCTGATCACCCCGGGAAATCCGCACTTCCCAGTACCGAGCTGTACTACCCCGTCATTGTTTCAGGCTTAGGTGGAGCGCGGGAACTAAGGCCACCGAGAGATAAGGAGATTTTCTTCCGGACGCTGAGAACTCAGACTTTGTCAAAGCCGAGGAGTGAGGGTCCATCACCCCCTTTTGCTGCAGCCCCCCAAGTCCTTCTTTTGGGGGGCCTCCCAAAAGTGATCGTGCCTGGCTTGGGTTGTTCCCCCCATGGGGAATCTTACCCGTCTTTGGCTAACCGACCAAGCTTTTGGGGGTTCAGTTATGAACAAAGCAGCAGAAGCAGCATTCCTGCCAGGAAGAAAAGCTTTTGTCTCCTTGCCGGCTTACGGTTCCAAGGGCGTTCCCTTAGCCTTAGCTAGGCGGGGGTTTCAGCCTCTGATACCAGTCAGGGCGGTTCCCAACATATCCCCCTTTTTTAGTTTTTTAAAATCGATTGTGGTCGTTAAGCCTGTGAAACCTCCTTTTGCTGTTTTTCGAATGCAAATCAGAAGAAAAGCAACATCTACATACATCATAAGGCAATAATAGAAATATAAAGCAGAAACTAAATTCTATGGGTTGTGAATACCTAAATTTCTAAATTCAGTGCAAGAAAACATATTAAGGGAAAAAACAAAAGTAATAGGTCTGATTACATTTCAATCTTTGTGAGAAATTACATAGATATCAGGAAAGGCAAATCACATGGCAGTTTGAGCATAATGCAAGCCTGACTTTTTACAAGAGGATTTCTTAACAGGTGCAGTTCTGCGCACCGACTCATCACCTACTTTCTTACGTGGGTGTTGAGTTTTAATTTTACGCCTGCCAGAGTGGTTTCTCATACCTTCTCCCTTGTTTTCAGTTAGGACTGCTAAGGGTTCCATAAAGGTGGCTACCTGCTGGTCTCTGATACGACCCTGGGAAAACAATTTGCAAATACACCGAAGTACACAAATCAATATCACAATCAGTAAACAACCAGCAGCTCCAAAAAACCCAAATTCTCAAATTAATTCCATCAAACCATGTTTTAGGATTCAGCCAATTAATATTGTCATTAAGGGCTCGAAAAATGTCCTGTTTGGTTAAACGTTGAATGTCCTGCAGCTGATGATGTAACTCCAACTGCAATTTATCAATTTGTCCTTTTAAGTTAGTGGAGAAAGCTCCCCTCAAGCGATGTTGTATATCAGTCCAATTATGTTGGCTGGAATTCCACTGTAGTGGTGTGACACACAGTCTGGAGAAACCAGGGTCACAGGTTAGGTGTTGACGAATCACGAGAGCGTCCTGGCGTTCGCCAATCCAGTCCAGTGCTGATTCAACTGCAGAAAGGCGGGTCAGGATCTCCTGATCTATTTGAGCCTGTTGGACTAATTCTAAAGTAGTATTGATTAAACCATAAGTGTAACCAGGTGTTAACAAACTGTCGGACTCATAAGGAGGGCAGTGCATTGTTAAATGCTATAATGCCATTTGGATTCATTCATTTTCTGGTCATATTCTGGAGATAACAGATTTGGAAAGAGTTGGAAGGCACAATGAAATCATAATCACTATTAACAACTGGTCTTGTTAGATTTATGCAAAGAAACCTTACATCATTACTTACTCCTTTAGAATGACAAATTCTGGAGGGATCAGGTAGGGAGAAAAATATAAAGTGTGAAGGAAAATCCTTTTCCTTCTGATATCTACCAGGCTTCTTAAAACTTTCACTTCCACAGACCTTCTGCAACATTCACAAACTCTCTATTCTTTTTCATTCACTTTCTGATATCCACCAAGATTGCATCTCCATGCCTTATACCTTCCATTACTAACACACACCACATAATTCTTTCTTAAAACATTTACTTCCACAGACTTTCTGAAACATTCACAAACCTTCTAATCTTTCTTTCATACCCCTTCTGATATTCACCAAGATTGCATTTCCATGCCTTATACCTTCAATTATTAACTAACATCACATAACTTCTTTCCTAAAACTTTTACTTTTCCATTTATCTTTACAGTTTCCCATTTACATTCCTAGAGTGTGAAGTTTCAACCTTCCCTGGAATCCTCAATTTTTTTTTCAGAGCAGATACAGAGTAAAATCCATCCTTCTCTGTGGGGGTGAAGGTGGGGCCTCCGTGATCTGCTCACTCAATTTGCACACCGTTTCACTGTCAGAATCATATTCCTCATCATCTAGCTCTGTTTTCTTTGTCCAAATGAACTCGAGAGAATCCCTGACAAGCCTCCAGGTTACAAAGGTGTGCGCACCAATAGATATACCACTGTTTTGCAAAGATTTCAACCTTTCACCCACCTTTTTCCCAAACATCAATGTCTAACGTACCTCTATCAGGAAATGAAGGACAATATTTTCTTATAGATTGCAAAAGCTGAACCAGATGCTTTTCTTTCTTATACTTTGTTATACTTTCTTATACTTCCTTATACTTTGCTCCTTTAAGAACTTGTTGTAATATACGCAGAAAAGATTTCTGCCCTTTAGATAAGTTACAACCTATGTTTACCTTCCTTTTTTTTTTTAAAGAAAAAGCTTCCTTTTACTTACTTTTAATTGGCCAAAATAAATCACCTGATTACTTTTTTCAAGGCAAATCGTTTGTTTTTTCAAACTTGAGAATTAGATTACTATTTACCCAATTATAGGCGGTCGCGAAGAGAGAAACGACCTAGAAAAGAAAGACCTACTTCCCTGAAAATTCAACGCATCCCACGACATGCCCGAGAAAGAGTTCGGGGTCGTCGGCCCTTACCTGGGCTGTTAGCGCGCAAATCCACCCGAAGTTGATGCATTGTCCACAGCGACGGCTCGTAGCCGCTGGTTCCAAGTGGTCTCGAACGGGGTCCCACCTCTGTGGTCCCGAATCGCTGCCCCACGTTGGGCGCCAGCTGTTGCGCGTGGGTCACCGGCCAGCAGTGACCACGGAACACTGTGGATGGCTCGACAATAAACACGCGAGAAATAACAACATGCACAGAGACAAACTAGTTTCTGTGGGGAAGTAGGGACAGAATGGCCACCCCCCCTAGTGGGGGAGCGCGCTGATTTACCGTCCATACCTGCTTTTATTAGGCTCATTTTGCATAATAATTCAGGCAAAGTACAGTACTCATTAGGGGGAAGTAACAAAGAACTCTGCCGGTCTATTGAGTTGGGGGGTCAAAGAGCTGTAAGGCTGAGGAACAAACTAGCTTCCTCCTAAGACCCTTCTCATTCAACTGAGAGCGTTCTTAAACAAAGAAGGTTTCACAGTAATTTACATGTTCTTTCTTAGGCCTGATCACCCCGGGAAATCCGCACTTCCCAGTACCGAGCTGTACTACCCCCGTCATTGTTTCAGGCTTAGGTGGAGCGCGGGAACTAAGGCCACCGAGAGATAAGGAGATTTTCTTCCGGACGCTGAGAACTCAGACTTTGTCAAAGCCGAGGAGTGAGGGTCCATCACCCCCTTTTGCTGCAGCCCCCCAAGTCCTTTTGGGGGGCCTCCCAAAGTGATCGTGCCTGGCTTGGGTTGTTCCCCCATGGGGAATCTTACCCGTCTTTGGCTAACCGACCAAGCTTTTTGGGGGGTTCAGTTATGAACAAAGCAGCAGAAGCAGCATTCCTGCCAGGAAGAAAAGCTTTTGTCTCCTTGCCGGCTTACGGTTCCAAGGGCGTTCCCTTAGCCTTAGCTAGGCGGGGGTTTCAGCCTCTGATACCAGTCAGGGCGGTTCCCAACACAGTCAACCCAGGACACCCTGGGTAGGAACTCTCTCACCTTCTCACCTCAATGGCCAGCAGTGTGATAATGGAAGCTGACACAGATGTGTCCTGCACCAAGCCGTTTATCTTGCATGTGGTGTTTCAAAGGGCCACCCTGTAACAATGGAGGCCACCACAGAATAAGACATGTCTCACCCACAAAAAGCCAAGGACCTTGGGCCATCTAAGCCAGTCCCCGCTGTGGCTTGGATCTTCCCTCCATGGCCTGACAGGCAGTCATCTCGTCTTGGCTTACACACTTCCAGGAATGAGGAGCTGACCATCCCTCACCACCACAAACAGTTCTGACTATTAGAGAGGCAATCTTTAAATCAGCCAATGACTTCTTTCCATGAGCTTTGGATCCATCCAGCCCAATGCAGTTGGTCAGAATGCACACAAACAAAAAGACACACATCACCTTTAATAGAATGTTTGCTGTGGGGAAGGGGATTTGGAGTGGGGTAGGGGTACGGAAGGGAATGAATAAATTAAAAAATAAACACGGGGCTGTACAACAGAGTGAAGTTACACAGTGTCGTGGACTGTGGATGTGAACAATTCAACCATCTGCACCTGGGTTCTGAAAGAAAGGGAGAAAGAGAAGGAGGGAGGGAGGGAGGGAGGGAGGGAGGAAAGGAAAAAAAAAGAGAGAAAGAAACAAAGGGAGAAAAAAGGGAGGGAGAGAGAAAAAGAAGGGAAGGAAATAAAAGAAAAAAAGTCATATGAAGTTTTATTTTAAGGCAGAAACTTCTATGAGAAACAACTCCTAAATACCCACCGAAAAGAGACTGGTTAAATACACTGTAGCACACAGGTGGCAAACACAAGGCCCACGGGCTGAACCCAGCCCTCCACCTTGTTTTATCTGGCCCGGCACCTTGCTTCTACCCGGCAGCAGCTCCCAGCTCTCGCTTAACTGTTAAGGAGTAGTTACATTCATACAGTCCTAAAGTTACATTTGGCCTTTTGAAGGCAACCGTGAGGCTGATGTGGCCCCCTGTGAAAATGAGTTTGACACCCTTGCAGCACATCCATACAATGGAAGTCTAACCAGTTATAAGAAGAATGAGAATTCTTTAATTTATTAATATAAAATAACTTCATGTAAATTAATTTTAACACATTCTATTTACAACATACATGCTATATTTTTAACCAGAGAAAGGTAAAGATGCAAAATTGACTAGAAAGTTAGCATTTTAAAAAAATTTGCTTGTACTTGTACATAACACTTTTGGAAAGAGGCACAAGAAACCGGCAACATTGGCCTCCAGGAGAGGAAGGGGTGGAGGGACGTTTTTCACCGGATGTCTTTGAGAGATTTTTACTATTGAACCATGTGGATGTGTTGTCTGTTCAAACAATTTTTTAAATTTAGGCATGTGAAAAGAGGACTGGCAGAGCTACCTTAACCAATTGGTGATCTCACCGTGCCATTGCTGATTGGGGTGTGTCCCTGTGTGTGTGGGCATGTGCATATGTGTGTTGGGAAGAAAGATGCACAGCCTATGTGCAGCAGCCCTGAAAGCACCTGGGATTCAGCAGTGGGTAAAGGTCCCATCAGGCAGGGCCAGGATTCCTGAGGGGAAGCCAATTGCCCTGGCTCCACTCTCCTGGGTTCTAGAACCTATAGAAACTAGAACTGCAACTTCCCTGCCCCAAGTCAGGTAAGTCACTCTGAAGGGGGCTCTGAGCTCAGAACCTGCAGGCTCAGACCTCTAGGGGTCTCCACAGCTCTGGAAATCCAGAGTCCCAGGGTCTGTGGAGCCCTATTCTGGAACAGGGGAGAGAGTAGATGACAGGGCGATCTTTGCAAGTGAACAGGCGGGCATTTAGTGGTCTGGCTGCCTAGTTCTACTTGCAGTCTTCTAATAAATCCCTGCTAAATGGTCGGCCGGTCCCTACTTAGACACTCCCAGTGACAGGATGCTCACTCACTACCTGTGGGGCAGACTGGCTTTTGTTGAACATTTCAAATAAGTGGATTTTTAGGTCCTTGTTCAGAAGAAACCTGCCTCCCTACCACTTCTTCCCACCGGTTCTTGTTCTGCGCAAGGGAGCTCCCTAGGAGAGTCAGACTGAATCACACAGTTATCAGTAATATGGGTGTGGGAATGTGGGACTTGAAACTTAGCTGTGAAACTACAGACCCCTCCCTTAATCACTCTGAGCATCAGTTTCCTCATCGATAAAATGGGGATAATAATAATGCATACTTCACTGGATGGTGGTGAGGGTTAATTAGGATGATGCAGGAAGAGTAAGTCACATAATGCTGGGAAAAAGAAAAAGATTAATTCATTGTATCTATTATTCTAGTGTAATCTCTTAGCCACAGGACTATCTTGAGAGTTTGAGACAGTGGCTTCCTGGCCAAGAGAGCAGGCCAGCAATGATTTCTGGGGAGGGTACCCCCACTGCCTCCATTGCCCACACTCACCAGGGATGAGGTTGTCCACAGGGTGGCAGGCATGCAGAAGATGCCCACCTGCAGGTCTCTGATGGCCTGGATGAGAATGACCGTGTTGCTGATGGTGCGCATGTGCCGGTTCCTGAGCACGATGAAGCAGACCAGGGCATTGCCCACCATGCAGAGGAGGAAGGTCAGCATGAGGGCTACAATGAACATGGCCACCCTGGTGAGGAGTGCTGGTAGGAGGAGGAGAGGGTGCGGTTTGCAGCCCAGATGGCCTCAATGTGACTCCCATTCTGGCTTGGAGACCAGCTTCTTTGGAGGCTGAAAGGGCTCTCCTAGGAGCAAAGGAGCATATGGGTCAGGATCCAAGGCAAAGAAGAGATGACTGACTTCTCACCAACAATGAGAATTTTCTGTTCTCCAAACCCTGTCCATGCCCTAGTGCCCCGATCATGTGCTCGACTCCAGTTCTAACCGGGTCCAGCACTTTCCACCCACAGCCACTCAAACCCGGTCTCACACCTCCCACCCCAGTGGTCTCCCCCACTGTTCCTCTCCCGGTGTCTGGTGTCGGAGTCGCTGCTCTCCATTTGCAAGCAACACCCTTCTGCCCATATACCGTATTTTGCTGTGTATAATGTGCAGTGTTTTGCTCAAGTTTTTGAGGGAAAAATAAGGATATACATTATACATGGGTGGTACTAATTCCATATCTATATAAATGTTTTTAATCCTTTTATTTATGCTTATGCATTACAAGCATGACTCTAGAAAGCAATGATGATACCCATATGCAAAAGAATACTCTGGAATATAATTGGTTTTGTTTCTAAATATAAATAAATACATAAATGAATTAAAAAATTTAAAAGAAATTTTTCCCTGAAAGTTTGGGCCAAAAACATGGGTGTGCATTATACACGGCAGAATACAGGTATGCTCGGTCCTTCTCTGCCCCAGAGGCTGATCTGGAAGGACCACACCACCCAGGCTCCCTTGCCCTCTGATTTCCTACAGGATTCAGTCAATGGGAGGCACCTGAGGGAGACTGAGGTACCGGAGAATAGGGAAGTCAAGAGTATTCATCTCCCGTCTCCCTCTCTCCCAGCCCACTTCTGCCTGTGGGGCTATTTTCTGGGGCACACTTCCTGTTAGGCAACTCATCTTCCATGATTCTAGCTCTTGAGGGGCCACAGTGACACTGTTCCCTTCCTGCACCGACAGCTTCTTGTTTCTGCCAGTCCCAGGGGTGCTTCGCCATCCCTTGTGGGTTCTCTTGTCCCCTCTTCGCCCCTGTAAGATCCTCTGTTAAACTCTCTTCAGTTAAATCCTTTCTGAGTGCACCCCCTGTTTTCTTCCGGGACCCCAACATTTATACCCTCAAAGTCTTCAATGTCCTTCCTCACCATCTCCTCCACAGAACTTTGGCTGGGAGAATGAAAGGAGCAATTAAAGTCACCAGAAGGACGTCCAAAGCCAAGGCCACTGCCCATCCTTCACCTTCTCCCACCATGATGATCAGCTGCTTCATTGGCATAGCGTTTAACAATGTACTTCCATACCTATTACTTAATCTAGCCCTCCCGCTACCACATGAGGTAAACAGGTGAGGTATTAGCCCCATTTCACATGGGACAACTGGGATCAGAGGGGTTCTGTGACTTGCTCAGGTGGCACAGGACTATGCAGCAGGGTCGGCCCTGCCCAGAGTGTCTCTGAGTCAGTCCCAGGCTTCACTGTGTGTTTCTCTAGCCACATTCGGCAGGGGGTTGCTCAGTGTCCAACCACAGCTCTGCTGAGACGTCATTAGATGTGGTGATTAATGATGTTGTCTCATGCACTCTCTTCCCGCCTTCCTCTGGGACTGATTGTGGCCTGATCCTGGGGACGAAGAGTCTTCGGGGAGTCTTCTGTCACATCCAGAGCTCAGCCACTGGCCCGGAGGCCCACTGGAGGCTTGGGACCTAGAGACTAGAGAGACCCCGTGGGAGGACCCGGCCTAATGAGCGGGCACAACTGGGCTGTAGGGGCCGGCAGGGGCTGAGGGGCACTCTGGGCGATGGGGAGGGGGGTGGGCAGGGCGGGCAGGGTGTCTGCTGGTAGGGGAAGGAGCTGGAAGTTTCCAGTGCACAGTAAGCAGAGGAGATAACATTCCCCTGTATAGGCCCCTCTAGGGGCTCCTAATTGCACCCAAACATCTTCATTTTCATATGGAAAATGTCAAACATGTACAAAAGAGAATGTTACAGTGAACATATATAAAGAGAAAGTAGTTTAATGAACATTACAAGAAAGAAGAGTATGAAGAACCCCCATGTATAAATCATCCACTTTCAACAACTATCAACTCAAAGCCAGTCTAGTTTCACCATGCTCCCACCTCTCTCTGCATTATTTTGAAGCAAATATCGCATCACTTTTTTCCATCCATAATATTTCAGCTCCTATCTCTAAAAAATAAGACTCAAGCCCTGGCTGGTGTGACTCAGTGGATTTAGCACTGGCCTGCGAACAAAAGGGTCACCAGTTCAACTCCCAGTCAGGGCACATGCTGGGGTTGCAGGCCAGGTCCCCAGTAGGAGGCATGCAAGAAGCAACTATGCATTGATGTTTCTCACCCTCTCTTTCTCTCTCCCTTGCCTTCTCTAAAAATAAATAAATAAATAAATAAATAAATAAAATAGGACTAAAAACAAAAACCCCTAACCACAGTAACAGTATCATACCTAACAAAATTAACAATTATGTCATAATGTTATCAATTATCCAGCATTCAAAATTCCTTGATTGTAACAATTTTTAAAATAATTGGCTTATTTGAGTGAGCGTCCAAATAAGATTTCTGTTTCCGTGATCTATTATTATGTGGCAAGTCACTCCAAAATTGAGCGGTGCGGCACTGTGGCTTAGCAATCTGGGTGGTCCTTCTGCTGGTCTCTCTTGGAATCACTCACACAGCTGCGGGCATCTGGTGGTTCAATGGGGCTGGAAGGCTCAAGATGAGCTGCTTGTTCCATGGCCTCTGTTTCATGCTGGATATTGGCCGGGGTGTCTGGTTTGTCCTCCACATGGCCTCTCGTCCTCCAGGAGGTTAGACTGGGCTTCTTCACAGCTTGGTGGACCCAGGGTTCCAAAAGAGCAAGAGAAGAGATAGAGGCTTCTTCAGACATAAGCTCCAGAATTTTCTCAGCATCACTTAGGCCAGATTCTGTTGGCCAAGGCAAGTCACGAAGTCAGCCTAGATTCGAGCCAGAGGAGAAACTGTTCCTACCTCTTGAGAGGAGCAGTAGCAACATTACATTGCAAAAGGTATGTGGACACAGGGAAAACAATTTGTAAAGGTTCATTATTATAAAATTGACCACCATCTGCACATTGAATTTTGTTGATGTGGCTCTTCAGTCTCTTTCAGCTTCTAGGTTCTCCTTCTATCTCTTTTGTCCCTTATAATTTACTTGTCATATAAATGACTAGTCATTTGTAGAATTTCTCAGACTGGATTGTGTGCTCCTTCATGATGTCATTTTATGTGTACTACTTTGTCCCCTATAGAGGCTTGATCAGATTGTCTGGTGGTCTCCTTTTTTTTTTAATCTAAGCTTGATTAGTGGGCTCAGGAGATGTCAGCCTGATCCCTCCACTGTCGAGTTCCCCATCAGCTTTTCATCAGTGTTTTCAGCAGCAGCTACTAATGGTTATTGCCTAGACCCCTCACTGCATCTCAAATACAGTCCAGACTCTTTACTGCATGGTCTGGTTCCTGTGGCTGTCTCTCCGGTCTCACCCCCGACACTCTTCATGTTATGTTCTGCCTACCTTGTGATGGCTCCTATGCACTGTTGCTTTTTCCAGCTCCAAGGTCTTTCTCTTCCTATTCCTTCTGCCTCTTCCCTTTATTTATTTATTTACTTACTTACTTAAGAGAGAGAGGGGAGGGAAAAAGAGAGAAATGTCAACTTGTCATTCCACTTATTTATTCATTCATTGGTTGCTTATATGTGCTCAGACCAGGGGTTGAACCCACAACCTTGGCGTATCAGATGATGCTCTATCCAACTGGGCTACCTGGCCAGTGTAAGGTTTTCTTAGACTCCGCCGAGGAAATAAACAGCCAATTTGCCATGGAAACAGGCAGATGAGCTTTATTTTGGAAGTTTGTGCTCCCGGGCAACGTTTTCACCGCCCGTGGAAGGGGCTAAGACCACGGGGGAGAAGGGAAAGGCTGGGAGTTTTACATGGCTCTACTTCGCGTGGGAGCCAAGGATTGGTTCTTGGTGAACAAAGAAGCAACTTAGCATTGGTGGCTCCTGGTCTGATGTCAGTCACCTCTTCTGGGTCAGAGTTCAGTTGCCATATTACTTGTAGTCCAAACGGTGGCCATATTTGTAGTCCAAAATGCTAATTGTAACTAGATTCCAGCTTGTCCTACCCTTCCCATCCTGACAGCCAGGGCCTCTCTTCTCCTTGTTTAGCTCCCAGCTTAAATGTTGTTTTCTCAAAGAAGCCTGACCTTGTTTTCTATTTAAAGTAGGTGCCCCACTATCATCTCTCACAGAATCCTGTTTATTTTTTTCAGTCCATTAATATTTTATTTGTTTTCAGGTTTACTGTTTTCCCACCACCCTGGAAAGTCAGCTTTAGGAGAGCAGGGACCTTCCCCGTCTGGCAGCCTAATAGCCAGCATCCTCATCAGTGCCTGCCCGTAGTGAGTGGTTCAGTAGATGGCTGTTGACTGAGTAAATGCTTGTTTCAAGGGAAAAAGGAAGAAAAGGTGAATGCGGACACCAGGTGAGAGGACCCCCACCCCAAGCCAGCATTGCTGGGGTTGGAAGGCCTTCTCCAGGGTCCTCCCAAGATGCTCATCACAGAGTCTGCTGGGAGCTTCCCCAGGCAGATCAGCCCTGCTGAGCCTCATAGTCAACTCTGAATCAGTCCCCATGACCTCCTGGGGAAATCTGGGGGTGTGGACGGGTGGAGGCAATTGCCAGAAACTGCCTGGCTAGTCTCCAGTCTCTCTGTTCCCCCGACTGCCTTTCATGAGGCCTCAGAGAGTGGCTCAGTGAGCCCATGTGCCGAAGTCCATCTGGGAGTGAGGCTGCCCAGCTCCCAACCCTCGGCTGAGCCTGGGCTTCAGCCTTCACACTGAGGCCAGTCCCCAGCATTGCAGACGGGCCCTTTCTTGAGGAGGAAAAATTCCCTACTTGGCACCTCCCCTGGGCCGGGGGTGCGACAGAGTGGAGGCAGGCAGGCCTCCCGTCCGGCCTGGGCTCCATGCCCACAGCCTGAGACCTCACTACACCTTCCACTTGTCCTTTCTGGGATCTGCCTGGTGCCCTTGTCAGGCTGTGAAAATTTCATCTGCAGAACCCAAATAAGCCACTTCCCCAAATGGGGGAGCTTCCTGGAGGTCCCGGTATATATTGCCTCCAGGGCACTGGAGACCAAGCCTCAGGCCACTGAAAGCTGGAGCCAGAGAGAAGATGGGGATGGGGTGCACTGGTTCTCAACAACCAAATGGATATTCTTAGGCCTCACCCCTGATCTAGGAATCAGAAACCCAGTTACCTCTGTTTTAACGCATCATCCGGGTGACTCTGGTACACGGGCCATTTTGACAGTCACAGAACTGAAGGACCTGGACCAAAGCCTGTGGAGGCTGTGAATACCACAGACTGGGAAGTCCCAGCCCTGCTGTCTGCCTCCTTCCTGATGCCTTCAGACAATGGATGGAATGTTTGTGTTCCTTCAAAATTCCTATGTTGAAACCTAACCCCCAAGGTGACAGTGTTGGGAGGTGGGGCCTTTGGGAGGTGGTTAGGTCCTGAGGGCAGAGCCCTCTGAATGGGATTGGTTCCGAATGAAGGAGGCCTGGGAGGGCTCCCTTTCCTTCTGCGGAGCCTGAACATGAGAAAAGACAGCTGTGTGTGAACCAGGAGGAGGTCCCCCACCAGACACTCAATGTGTTGGCGCCTTGATCTGGGACTTCCCAGCCTCCACAACTGTGAGCAAGAAATTTCTGTTCTTCCCACAGACGTGGGCAACAGTGTGGGGCTGGACTGTGGGAGCGGGGATGGGACGGGCAGAGGAGGGCGAAGGGGGAAACTGGGACAACTGTAATAGAATAACAATAAAAAATGGCTTAAAAACCACATTTCAGTTCTTCATAACACACCAGTCTCTGTGGGTGCTCAGAGTTCTCCTCTTTAAATGGAGACACAGTTTCTGGCCGTGACCTCGGGCAGGCCGTGTCACCTCTCTGGAAACCAGAGTTCGCACTGGTAAAATGAATAAAAATGGACACCGACTGAAAAGGGGGCTGCGGTGAGGAGTCAGTCAGATAATGATGGGAAAAAAGAACTTGGAGAGCGCCGGGTACGTGACACCTGGCAGGTGTCAGCTCAGTAGCAGCAGTACCGACTGTTAAAGTGCACAGTGGATGCGAGCGCAGTATTTTTATGGTACTCAGGCTGGGCCTTCCTGCAGTGCTAGCGTGTGTGAGAGAAAACAAGACTGAAGTGAATGCCCTGAGCTCTGAATCAGTCTGGGTATCTACCCGAGTTCACAGCCCTCACACCAGTGACCTCGTCTAGTTTTTGCTGTCGGCTTGTCTGTCCTGTTACCACTCAGGAGCTCAGCCCCAGCCTAGATACCTGGGGGTCACCATCCAACACCCATTTCCTCAGAGCCTCCTGGGTGAACCCAGCCTGGCGCAGAGGCACTGGGGACCTGCTGCAGGACCCGACACAGGGGGCTGCTGAGAGCACACGGCAGAAAACAGCACACATGGCTAAAAGACATAGGAAATAAAAGGTTCAAGTTCATTTGTAATCAAAGAAATGCAACTTTAATAGAATAGCAGGTGACCTTTGCATCCATCAGATTGTCAGAAATAAAACGTGCCCAGTGAGGGCCCAGTGTGGCTGTGCGCCGTTGGGGGCCCAGGGGGCACAAGGCAGCTCAGCCTTCGACATTGGGCTACATCCACCCAGCGCCTGACAAGGGACCTGACCTCACAGCCGGACATCCCACTTCAGGAGCTGTTCCTGAGGAGCAGAAGGTCTAACGGTGTGGGGAAGTGCGGGCCATGGATAGTCATGGTTACAAAATAGTGGGTATGTGCCTCATAAATCTGCATTCTGTATGAAGTGTGTACATGTGTGTGTACTCAAAGGACAAAATAGAAGTGTTTGCCCACAGGGGTGTTTCCTTTTTATTAACTTGCACTTCAGCCTTTCTAATCAGAAGGAAGTTCTGATAAATGTGATTTAAAAGCTGACAATGTTGGTGGTTCTAAACTCTGACTCATATCAAAATCACATGGCTTTGCCCTGGCCAGTGTGGCTCAGTGGTTGAGCATTACCCAGTAACTGCAAGGTTTCAGGTTTGATTCCAGCTCAGGGCACATATCTGGGCTGCAGGTCCTCTCCCCCAGTTCAGACGCATACAATCCGAGGTCCCAGCGCAGATCCCGGGTCTGGGGGCACATGAGGGCAATCAATTGATGCTTTTCTTACATCAGTATTTCTCTCTCTCCCTTCCTCTTTCTCTCTAAAAAAGCAAAATGAAAGTGTACTCAGGTGAGGATTAAAAAAATCACATGGCTTTTAATAACACAGAATACAACACCCCCCACAGACACTGAATGAGAGTTTCTTGGGGTGGGGTGCAGGCACTGGTGCTTCTCTTAAAAGCTCCCCTGGTGATTTCCAGGTATAGGCAGATTCAAGAACCACTTAATTATCCAGTCCCTGACCTCCAGGAACTTACAGTTGGGTTTAGTGATACTTAATATTTTAGGGGTCACCAAACTCTTTGAGATCCTGATACATTTGAATCCATTTCACAGATGCTTTCCAAGAGTCTGTACTGAAATGGTCTCTTTCTACATATAATTGACAGTCTTTAAAAGCTGCAGATCCTCTCTCAAAAGTGCACTGTATGTTTTTCACACACTCTCAGAGAAAGAGTGGGCATTTATTTGGGTTGCGGCCCACCTTGCACCCATGACCACTTCTTCCAGCACCGTGATTTTCCCTTGGGGAGTTGGCTCTTCTCATTGCACGCCACTCTCCAGAGACTGTCAGTCATGGGGCTGCACCCAACCCTGCCCAAAGGGTGGACACCTGTTCTCTGCTGCTTCGGATTTGACTCTGGTCCTAGTAACACAGCTTTCCTTCCACTGGATGACCTACCCATCCTCTCCCAGCAAATTCCCCTTGTTGGTCAAGTTAGTCAGAGCCACTTTCTGTTACTTGTAACTCAGTGTCTTCACTAAAACAAGGGGGCTAAAGTAGATCATTTTTGGGCCTCCTGAGGGTCTGCAGGGTCCAGTTCAGAGCCCCAGGAAGAGGTGTAAGAGGCAGGGACAGCACCATAGAGCCCCAAGATTCCTGTGCCCCAGGTGAGGAATTTGCCCTCTTTCTGTTGGCTCTAGGAGGACATGTATTCTGCAGAGACAGTGCTGGTACAGATGGGAAAGGAGGCAGAAGACAAGGCCTTGAGAGTAGGCCCAATAGCGGTCACTTCAGAACCTGCATCGAAGATGGTCTTGCCCATGGACATGGGCAAGTGTGGTGATTAGCTGTGGGAATGTGAGGTGGACTGGGCAGAGGACGGCAAAGAGGGGAAAACTGGGACATCTGTAACATAACAAAAATCTTTTTTAAAAGATGGTCTTGGAGGAGGCAACTTAATTTGAAGGAGATGCTTGGGAACCTATCTTAATGCTGCTTTTGTACAGTCTTTGCAGAGTTGATTAGTTTCAGGTGGCTTGGGGACTGATGATGGGTACCCTGATTCCCCTTGCAGCTGTTGGTAATCCTATGTGAACTGGGAGATCCACTGAATAACTGTCCTTGGCTTTCAGACATGGATGGCCTGGATTCTTCACCTCCCTACTGCACGGAGTTGTTGCTAGGCTCAGTGGATATCAGAGAAAATTATAAAGAGCCTCAAAGATACAACAAGTGCTTGTTGGCAGAATTAGCATCTGCCAGGCAGCCACAGGGGACAGAAGGGTCACAGTGAGGTTCCGATACATTGGGGTTTGTTCCCAAGGAAGCCGGTCTGGGAAAAGACCTGCGTAGGGGCTGCTCAGGAGAGTAAAAGGTGAGTGCGCAGGAGGACCCCTGCTGCAGGAGGTCCCCTGCTGCAGGACGTTTCCTGAGACCAGAGACCTCTCTTCTGCCCCTTCTTGGCTATGAGCTACAGTCTGCCCCACTGCAGGCACCCCATGCCAGCAACATGGATTTGAAAAGCCCAGTTCCTTCTTGGTGAGTAAGAGCAGGCGGGCCTTCCCACAGTCCTTTGGGCTGGCCAAGGCCAAAGGCTGAGGGCTGAGGAGTTCCTGGAACAGCCAACAGGAGCTCCAAACAGGCCTGTTCTTGCACATTCCCTTCCCCAACTCTGAAACCTTCCCATTTGTCTTCATTCCCTCCAGTGGGTCTCTGGTTTTCTGTTTTACCCACCAAAACCTGTATTCAGGAAAGGTTCTCATGCAAGTCACCTACCTCTCAGTGAAAACTGAAGTTGTGGATTGCTCTCTACTCACATGGTAAACTGGTATTCTTAGCACATTTAAAGGAATCCCAGGCCTTAGAAAATAGGGGTAGTAGAAGAGATTTAAGGGGAGAGGGGGAAGGGGGAGGGATTTTCTCTCTTGCTCTAGGTGAGGCTAAGCATAACCCCTTGGGGTCCCTTTCTGGGTTCTAGCACTGTCTGCTTCCTTGGGGCCCACCCACAGCACTGGGCACATTCAGTTTCCTACTTTGTGTGTAGAAAATTGTTTTCTTCCACTGAGCTAGAAATGCGGTAGTGGCAGAAGCCATGCCTAATTTGGCTCAGAATGTCCCCCATTGTCTGCACAGGGCCTAGAACAAATCGATGATTAGTGAATGTTGGCAGTTGGTCCTGAAGGTAAGGAATTTTCGTCTAAGCATTGCTTTAGTCATCTTCCATAGGCTCTGATATATACTGTTTTCATTATTGTTGAAGTACTTTTAAATGGCATCAAACTAGAAGTACAGATTGGTAGTTACAAAATAATCATGGGGATGGAAAGTACAGCATAGGAAATACACTCGATACTTTTGTACTCACTGGGCATGGTGTCAGCTGGCTACTGGAAATATCCAGGGAATACTTTGTAAAGTACATGATGTCTAACCACTAATACAAAATATTGAATGCAAAGTATAATTGAAAAAAATTTATTAAACAAAAAAACCCCATCTCTGACCAAAAAAAGGAAAATTATTTTTATTTTGCAGATAGTAAAATCAAGGCTCAAAGACAAAGGGACTTGCTGTTAGACCACAAAGGGCAGCTTCACTGGGCTCCAAGATGCAGCTCCGCCACATCAGCCATGTGGCTTAGTCTGAGCTTGGGCCCCTGCTCAGGCCCTGCCACCTCCAACCATTTTCTGGTCTTCTCTGGGTATCATTGGGTCACCTATGAAAACCTCCAGCGTCCGTTTGCAGTGACTAGAGATCCTTCATGTGAGGGGAGCCTTACCTTTCCAGGGAGGCTCCAGCTACAAAGTTGACGCCACAGACACTGCCTGTGCCATCTGAAACCTTCCTAAAGAGGCAGGCACATGGTGGCCAGAGGCAAAGCCATGCTGCTCAGGGCTCAACCAAGAAGTAAGGGAAGTGAATACCTAGCTCCTTTGGAACCACTCTTCCCCCCACCACTGCTTCCCAACCAGGCATCACTACCTAGAGTCTCAGCGTATTAGCTCCAAGCTATTCAGGTCTCGGTCTCCCCCTTCCTAGCAGGATCTTCTTTTAACTTGTTCACGTGGACGAGGAAATGACTCATAACAACTTAAAGTGCTATGTCTGATTTTGGCATTTGCATTTTTTTTGGCAGATTGCAAGGAAAGATTTAATTATGAATCTCAGTTAACTATTTACCAAAGGACACACACAGGAGAGAGACCTTTTAAGGGCTGGTTTTGCCTCAAGAGGTTTATTCAACCTTCGGATCTCCAAGCTCACCAGAGAATCCGCACTGGTGAGAAGCTGTCCAGCTGCAAGATCTGTCAGAGGTCGTTCACCCACGACTCCACAATGCGCGGTCATGAGAAGGTCCACACGAAGGAGAAGCCTTGTCCATGTGAAGTCTGTCACAAAAGTTTCAGCCACAAAGGGAACCTCAACATCTGTCTGTGTGCCCACACCAGCCTCAGGCCCCACTGCTGACACGAGTGTGACCAGGCCTTCTGTCAGCTGCGGCCTTTTAAACGTCACCAAAAACACATCCGAACACGACTTACCAATGATTCCAACTCCCTTCTGCCTGAGAAGGAAATTTGTCACTTGTGTTGCAAAAACTGATGTATGGCAGGTTAAACACGTACAAGGTTTCTGGAACACAATGGGGCTTCTATACATTGGAAGTAAGATCCTTGAATAAGTATAGATCTTCCTTATTGGTTTCCTTTTTCTGTTTCATCATAACCTACTGTTTTCTTACTCATAGGGTTTTTTTTGTTTGTTTATGATGCTATCATTCTTCCAACAAAATGAGAGTCATTAATTGTTTCAATAAGTATTTCATGGTTTAACTGTAATCTCTTATATGTCCTCCTGTTATACTTTATTTCATTGTAGAATAGGGTGATCCCAGCAGGGTGGCCAGATTTACCACAGAATACTCAGGGAAGTGTCCATTTCTGCTTAACACTGTTCCCCACACCTGGACCCTGACTTGACAGAGTGAGAATTTAGAAGGAGGCTGAGTGGGTCTTGTGTGGCAAAACTCCAATTACTCCCGCTTCTAGCCATAGCCCCCAACCTGCTGCATCTGTTACAGTAGAGACCGGGATCGACCCTGAATAATATACAAGACTCCCCTTTTTCTCCAGGGGTTCCTCCCCACTTACTGGGTTCATTTTGCCTGCTGCCTGAGGAAAGACGTCTCTTAATACCAGAGATCAGTGAAAAGGAAAGGAACTTATTTTTACTTGAAATAATACAAACAGAAGTTCCCCACAAATGCACATGGTCCTCCCGGCACCATGTGGGAAAAGGGGGCACTTCCAAAGCCTCATGGTCCTGACTCTCACCCAAGCCGAGTGGTCCTAAACAGCCACGTGGTCCCAAAAAGGGACGCCCAATGGCTGCTGTGCCTCCATTTAAATCCTAGCGCCAATCTTCCTCTGCAGCCCCATTTCCAGCTCCTCCCACAATTGGCCATAGCTGCCAGCATTCTGGGGAGGTGTGGCCCTGTGGTGTAGAGCCAGTTATCTCCAAGCTCTCCTGGACCCTATTACAAATCCCTGTTTGGGGCTCCCCTCTTGGCTGCACCCTGTTACACATTCCTCCTTTCAGATATACAACCCCTTTATAATCATATAAAGGACAATGGACGAAGGTCTCATCTTCTTGTAACTACTTCCGGCTGAACATGGATGCTGTTCTATCCACCCATGGGTCAGGGGTGCCCTGAAGGGGAGGGTGCAGCACGGAGGGAGTCCTTCCTGTAAGGGGAAGGACCTTACAGAATCCTGGTCAGTTGGCTGTCACCAGGAAGTCGCAGGATCGATGTCCAAAGGCTGGCATAACTGGACCATTGGCATCCTGGTTGTATTCTGGAGGTGACAGATTTGGAAAAAGTTGGAAGCACAATTAAATCATAACTACTAAATGACAAAGGCAGGGGCTTAGGTAAAGAATGGCTTATCTGGAGGAAGGTGTGCAAGGTATGCTACACCTATCCAAAACCCTTGTGGCCCGCTATACCTCACTCAGGCTGTAGGGTATATATTAAGATTTCTCTCCTTTCAGATTTCTGGGCCCTTTCTGTCCAAGCCTTTAGGACAGAAAAGGGAAAAGCAGTTCTAAAATGAAGCCCACAGACCACCCCAACCCAACCACTTAGTTCAGTCAAACCGTTGAGTCTCAGCAGGCGATGATGAAGATGGGCTCCTTAAGTGAGGCCTATATTGCAACCAATCACTCAGGTAATGAGGTCCTAGGCATACAGCCTATGAAAACAGAAGGAAGAACATGCTAATTTACACAAAAATTCCCAAGTCAGTCTCTGTGCCTGTGAGACTGTCGTTTGGGAAGACATCTTGTTACAAGGCCCTTGCTGCAATGACATCTAACAGTAGCAATCTGACAGGTCCTTAGTGCCTGTAAATGAAAAAACTAACTTTCAAGACAGTCAGTTATGCCATTTCTGATGTCCAATACTGAGTGTTGTGATTTTCCTCAAACCACAATTTTTCTTCCCAACATCACCCTCATTATTAAAGCGACTACTTTTAGTCCAGCTTCTAATTTTTACTGTTTGTTTGCATAAACACACCAAGGACAGCCTGGATCACCTATGATCTTTATGTCCACTTTACTGGAACGCACACAGGGAACCTTTAGGTTGACTTTTCAATCCGCCCCTCGGGGCACCGTAGCAGAGCCACACACCTGCCATCTGGCTTCACCTGTACCAGTTGTTTCACTAAAATCCTCAAGGCTTCCATTCTGCCTACAGGTTCCTTTTTAGCCATCTTTCAGGAAAGCAACCTTCGTCCCTTCCCTGGAAAGACTGCCAGGAACTGCATAGCCAACTGAGGTATCAGGCTTTTTCTCCTGGGCTTTCACTAGCTTCTCAAATCAACCCCAGTTCCTCAGGGCTTTCTGCTGATGACCAGAACCCAGACATGCCTCTTTCAGGTGTGACATTCCAGTTAAAATTTCAATTAGCAAATCACCATTGATGACTGGTCTTAATAGATTTATGCAAAGAAACGTATGTAATGCCAAATTTTGGAGGGATCAGGTAGGGAGAAAAGTAGTAAATGCAAAGGAAAACCCTTTTTCTTCTGATAACCTTCTTACACTTACATACCTTACACTTTTCCTTGTTTATTTTCCTACAGGGTGGGAAGTTTTAACCTTCCCTGGGATCCTCAATTTCCTTTTCAGAGCAGATACAGATCAAAACAGAACAGTACACAGACAGAGGCACTCCTTTGTACCAGCGCGTCCCACTGGTGCCTCCGAAGAGACATGCTCCTTCACCTCAGGCTGAAGCACTCATCAGCCCTGAATGACTCTGCCTGGGTCCTGAGTGGAAAGACATTCTTGCCAACCAGTTACAGGCAACCTTTTCTAGGTCTTACAGATGACCTTAACTAGGTCTTCAGAAGACAGGATTTCTGATCAGAAACAACCAAATTGAAACCACATTCCCATAAAACCAGAAGACAAGTAGTTGAGGTTTCCTTTCCTCCAGGTTTAAAATTTTCACCTTTCCTACATAGTTTTACCCATACAGATTTAACCATAATTCATTGTAATCCCTGTGTCTTTCCCACATTGGGAAGGACTATACTTAAACTTCGTACTTAAATTCAGTATGTGCCAGCCAAAGGTCCCTAGCTTTATAAACACCTGCATGAAATAACAAACACTGTCACCCTGTATTGGGGTTTGCTGTCCTTTTTTGGAAGAGTAATTTCAAACCTTCCTCCAGAGTGCAGGTCCAGCTTTCCCTTTCCTCCTCAGTTGCAACAGTAGGGTCTGCATCTCCCTTAATTGGTGCTCGTTTTACCTGTGTGTAAATTAATTTAATCCAGGGCTTAATTCCCATCAGCTTCAGGGAGGAATGCGTTGTCAACAAGACATCGTAGGGACCAGTCCACTGTTCAGACAGCTGCCATTCAGGGCCTTGAGTCTTCCAGGTATTTAGTAGGACTCAGTTTCCGGGCTGGAATGGGTGCAGAGGCTCGTCAGAGGGGTAAACAGACCTGTAATTAGCAAGCTTGTGCAAAATGGTTCGCGTTTGTCCTAAATGTTGTACATATTTAATTTTTCTCATGCTCCAAATCTAGGAGTGGTATACCTAAAACAAATTCGGAGGGGTTTACCATAAACTGTTTCAAAAGAGCTCAGTTTAAGCCCACTTCTGGGTGCCACTCTGATTTGGAGCAAAGCAATGGGGAGTGCCTGGTCTCATTTTAAATGTGTTTCCTGGCGTATTTTTGCCGAGGTCTTCTTTATGGTGTGATTCATTTTCTCAGTCTTTGCTGTGGACTGAGGTCTCCAAGATGCATGCAATTTCCATTGTATTTGCAATGCTTGTCTGACCTTCTGGGAGATTTCTGAAGTAAACAATGGTCCATTGTTGCTTTGAATGCTTTGGGGAAGTCTAAACCTGGGAATTATTTCTGTAAGCAACAGCTTTGCCACCTGAGTTGCCTTTTCAGTTCTGGTGGGGTATGCTTCTACCCACCCAGAAAAAGTATTTACGAAGACCAACAAGAATCTGAAATTTCCCTTCATTTTAGGAATTTGTGTGAAATCCACCTGCCAGTCCTCAAATGGGCACATCCCTTTGTATTGTACTCCCTTTTCTGTGGGGACACGCGCTGTCTTAGGATTGTTTCTGGCACATATCTGATAGGCTTGGCTGATCCTGTGGACAGTCCTTTGCAAATAAGAGCCTTTCAGATGTGGTCTAATGAAGTCCATTAGAGCATCCCTTCCACAGTGGGTCCTTTCATGTAGGTGCTTGAGGACGGGATACACTAGAGCCTCAGGGAGTAAAATCATACCATGGGTGTAGATCCTCCACATAGAATTGGTATCAGTGTTACTAAATCCCCATTCATGGGCCCGCTCCTCATCCTGTTCTGTGTAATGAGGTTTAAACTCTGACAAGTCCAGATGGGGAACCAGGGCCGCTAGGCGTGGCAACTCCTTGGCTGCCTGTCTTGCTGCTTTGTCAGCAGCTTGGTTTCCCTGACTGGTTTGGGAACCATCCCTCTGGTGTCCTGGGCAGTGCATTATAGGAACCTGGTTCAGTACATTCACTGCCTCCAGCAACTGTAAAATCACCTCCGCATGTTTAACATTCTTGTTCCCTGAGGTTAAAAGTCCTCTCTCCTTCCATATTGCTCCATGGGCATGGACTACCATGAAGGCATACTTGGAATTGGTATATATGTTAACTTTCTTTCCTCAAGACAGCAGTAAGGCTCTAGTAAGGGCTATTAGTTTAGCCTTTTGCGCTGAGGTTCCTGGCATAAGGGCTTCAGCTTCTATTACCTTGTCTGCAGTGGCCACCATATACCCCACTCGTCGCTGGCCATTGTCCATGAAGCTGCTCCCATCTGTATATAGCTCCCAGTCCGGCGACGCCAGCAGCTCCTCCATCATATCTGGCCTGCTAGAATAAACTTGGTCAATTATTTCCAAGCAGTCATGCTCAAGTGCAGAGTCCCCCTCCATGTCTGGGAGTAGGGTGGCTGGGTTTAGGGTTGTGGTGGTCTGCAAGGTAACATTTGGATTGTCTAGCAAAATTGCCTGGTATTTCCCCATACACCCTGCCATCAGCCAATATCCTCCTCTGTTCTAGCAGAGTCAGAACCTGATGTGGCACCAACACTGTAGTAGGCTGTCCCAAGGTAAACTTCTCAGCATCCTGTAAGATGTCACAGGTGGCTACTACTGCCCAGAGGCACGGTGGCCATCCTTTTGTTGTGTGATCCAGCTTCCTTGAGAGATAGGCTATGGGTGGGGTGGAGGGGGGGGTATTTCCCAGGGTCTGGGTTAGCACCCCCCGTCCTATCCCCTGCCTTTCATGAATGTACAATTTGAAAGGCTTCTGTAAGTCCGGCAGTCCTAACGCAGGGGCCAAAGCTAGCTTCTCCTTCAAAGTATCTGTAAGGTTTTCTTAGACCCCGCCGAGGAAATAAACAGCCAATTTGCCATGGAAACAGGCAGCTGAGCTTTATTTTGGAAGTTTGTGCTCCCGGGCAACGTTTTCTCCGCCCAAAGAAAGGGCTAAGAAAAAACCTTGCGGGAGAAGGGAAAGGGTGGGAGTTTTATATGGCTTGACTTCATGTGGGAGCCAAGGATTGGTTCTTGGTGAACAAAGAAGCAACATATCATTGGTGGCTCCTGGTCTGATGTCAGTCACCTCTTCTGGGTCAGAGTTCAGTTGCCATATTACTTGTAGTCCAAACGGTGGCCATATTTGTAGTCTAAAATGCTAATTGTAACTAGGTTCCCAATTGTCCTACCCCGCCCACCTGACAGTACAAATGCCACCTGATAGTCCCCTGTCCATTTAAGGGGTTCAGAGTCCAGTCCTTTTAGGGAATTACACAGTGGCTTTTCTATGAGTCCAAAGTTTGGAATCCAAATCCAACAAAACCCTGTAATTCCCAAGAACCCACAAAGCTGCCTTCGATTTTCTGGGATTTTTAGCTTAGCAATGGCTTGCTTTCTATCTGTCATCAGACTCCTGGTACCCTGTTTCAGCTGAAATCCCAGATATGCCACTTCCTGTTTGCAAATTTGGGCCTTCTGAGGTGACACTTTATATCCTCTCTTTGCCAAATGATTTAGAACTGTGATGGTATCGTGCAAACAGTCCTCATAGTAACTGCTGGCTATTAACAGGTCATCCACATATTGCAAAAGAATTCCCAATCTCAACTGAACATCCCTTAAGTCTTTTGCCAGCACTTCCCCAAAAATAGTTGGGGAGTTCTTAAATCCTTTTGCATCACAGTCCAGCAGTTTTGGACCATGGCTTTCGTCTCTGGGTTCTGCCACTCGAAGGCAAACAGTCGCTGAGCCTGCTCATCTATCAGGATGTGGAAAAAGGCATCCTTCAAGTCCAGGCCTGAAAACCGTGGGCGGCCGCTGTGTGGTGTGGACACAGCTCCCACTGGGAGATGCACAGGACCCACGCCCACATCTAGGTTCTCCCGTGGGGAATCAGGCCTGCAATGTACCTAGGCCACTATGAGTCTTGCTTTTTGCTAAAACTCCCTCACCCTTAATTGAGGACATTTACTGCAAAGCAACTTCCTAAAAATCATGCTAAACCTTCCAAGGATGAGTGTAACCGGCTCAACTACTTTTGCCTTTTCATTTGCAAATATCCCTCTTTTGTGATGCGATTAACAGCATTGGCTCCTTTGTTTTCTGTATAAAGTAACCACCTAAAGTGAGCCTGTGCATAGTTAATGTGGACCTTCTTGTCATGTGCTCAGTTAGACAGTAAAAGCTCATTGGAGCAAGGAGTGAGGCTTTTGCTCCCCTTGAGAGAAAAGCCATGCTGTCCCTTTTCCTCCACCAGATTCGGTAATCTGTGTGAATTTATCTCATATTTCATCCATAATGACGTAGATACTATGAGCCGGTGTCTGCATCAGAAAACCATTTGCCATCCCCAGGCACCATAGCCAACAGGGTGTAAGGGTTAGGCACAGTAGGGTGAATGTCCTGGACAATGTCAGTGATGGGCTGGAGATCCTGTACAGACCGATATTCATCCGAGTGTGGCTTTTTGACTGGCAAAATGGGAGTGTTATAGGGTGACCAGCAAGGCCAAATTAATCCTGATTTCAAAAACTTCTACAACACTGACTGGATCCCCTTCTAAATCCTCCTTTCTGAGGGGATACTGCTTCGCTCATGGGACCCACACCCCTTCTTTCAGAGATATCATTTATGGGTTGCATGTTAACAGCTTTACCTGGAGTTCCATCAGTCCAAATAGTTTGATCAACCTGCTCCCAGATCTCAGGTGGGACGGGTTCACTTCTGGGGCCTCCAGGACAGGTCAGGAAAGACTGCAGCCAGAGGGTATTTTCCAGTGGGACTTCCATGCACAGCTGCTGTCACTTGGGGGAAAAGGTTATTTGTGCATGCAGTTTACACATCAAATCTCAGCCCAACAATGGAATGGGACAATCAGGCATATACAGAAAACTGTGTGTAAGCTTTTGCCCCACAAGCTGACATTCCAGAGGTTGCAGGAATGTCTGTTTTTGTACCTGGACAGACACACCAGTAACCACTACTTCATTTGTATTTTTTTCAGTCAACTTTGTGTTTAACACTGAGTATATGGCTCCCGAATCTACAAGAAAGGCAACTGGCTTATTCACCACAGTCACTTGTACCCGGGGCTCCTGAGGGGAAATAGTGATGGGTTGGGAGATGTCCAAGGGAGCCCCGGGGCCTTCTCATTCCTTGTCATCCTCCATTTCTTGCTTCACCATCATTTGACTTGGATTCTTACTTTCCATTTTGCGATGTGGGAACTCATTCCTCCACTGCCCCTTTTTCTTACAACAGGTACATTGATTACGGCATAGTACCCCTTTTGCCTTGGGCACGGTGGCGGGAACCCAATGAGTTTCCCTTTCCTGCCCTGGGGCCCCACTTCTTTTGGTTTCCCTGGGATAACTCCAAAAACACCGTGGCCCGTTTTGCCTTCCCTGCTTCCCGGGCATTGTAGATGTTAAAGGCTATGTTCACTAGCTGGGAGGAGCTTGTAAGGTTTTCTTAGACTCTGCCGAGGAAATAAACAGCCAATTAGCCATGGAAATAGGCAGATGAGCTTTATTTTGGAAGTTTGTGCTCCCGGGCAACGTTTTCACCGCCCGTGGAAGGGGCTAAGAAAAGACCTCGCGGGAGAAGGGAAAGGCTGGGAGTTTTATATGGCTGGACTTCGCGTGGGAGCCAAGGATTGGTTCTTGGTGAACAAAGAAGCAACTTAGCATTGGTGGCTCCTGGTCTGATGTCAGTCACCTCTTCTGGGTCCGAGTTCAGTTGCCATATTACTTGTAGTCCAAATGGTGGCCGTATTTGTAGTCCAAAATGCTAATTGTAACTAGATTCCCACTTGTCCTACCCTGCCCATCCTGACAAAGCTCATTCCCAGTAATCCAGCTACACGCTGAAGTTTGTTCCTGCTATCTGGAGCACTCTGCCCAATAAAAGTCATGTTTACCATTCTCACGTTCTCTGGTGCCTCTGGATCAAAATCAGTGTATTTCCTATATGCCTGATAGATCCTCTCTAGAAATTCAGAAGGATCCTCATCTGGCTTCTGCTGGAGAGTCTGTATCATATTCAGACTCCTCTGCTCGGGCACTCCTTTCCTAAGTCCTTCCAATATGCACTTTCTATAGTGTCTTAAAGAGGTTAAGCCATCTCTGCTATTCGGGTCCCACTTAGGGTCTACCCGAGGAATTGCCTCCACTAGGTTAAGAATTCCCTCGGTGTCCTCATCACGGAGACGCTGGGCCTCCTGATCAGCCCTACTTAGAACCAAACGCCTTTCATCTGCTGTTAGCAAAATGTACAGGAGGGCCTGTATGTCTGCCCAGTTTGGGTGGTGAGTGGCAAAAATAGAGGCAAGAAGATCTGCCATCTTCTGAGGATCACTCCTATATGAGGGATTGGCATTCCTCCAGCTCAGCAAGTCGGAAGTGGAGAACGGAGTACGAGCCCAATAGTAACCAGCAGGCTGGCCTTCTTCATTTATTCCGCCTATCGGGTATTGCCTCAAAGGGTACTGGCTGGCTACACCTTTGGAGGCTCCCCGGTTATAGGCGGTGCCCCGGCGAGTTCTGGAGGGTGAGACACATTGCTCAGCAGGTGGAGGTGGAGCAGTTGGCTTTACGGGAGGAGACAAAACTGAGGTGGCTACCACTGCCTGTGCAGGGGGAGGTACCCCAGCAGTGGTAGTTCTCATCCCGTGTGAGGCTGGAGGTGAGGAAACCTCCACGATCTGTGAAGGTGGTGCCCGCTCGGAGGCCCCTCCTACCTGTGGAGGATGGTGCCCTAAAGCCTCACGCTGCAGAGGGGGCCAGGCCCCTCCCACCTGCAGAGGGTGGTGCCCCAAGGCCTCGCCCTGCAGAGGGGGCCAGGACCCTCCAACCTGCAGAGGGAGGTGCCCCAAGGCCTCGCCCTGCAGAGGGGGCCAGGACCCTCCAACCTGCAGAGGGAGGTGCCCCAAGGCCTCGCCCTGCAGATGGGACCAGACTCCTCCTACCTGAGGAGGGTGGTGCCCCAAGGCCTCACCCTGCAGAGGGGGCCAAGCTCCTCCCACCTGCAGAGGGTGGGGTCCTGCGGAGATGCCCCCCACCCACAGGCGGCTGGATGGAGGCAAAGCACAGGCACCTCTCACCTGCTGGGGCACCGGGACTCCCGAGCCGACCCCCACCCATTGGGGCTGGGGTGCCCCACAGGCAGGCAGTGTGCAGGCCCCTCCCACCTGTGAAGGTAGCGGCAGAACACAGGATGCGCCCACCTGTAAAGATGGCGCCAGCCAGCTGCCTCTGGTTTCGAGAGCCAAGGGGTCCCCTCCCATATGGTGGTGAGGACAGCTAAAGGAGCCAACTCGAGAATCTGTGGTGGAGACTTCTCCCACCTGCAAGGGCTGGGGAGTCGTGGCGACCCCCACCTCTTGGGGAGGTCGCAGC